GACTTTATTTTCTTGGGCTCCAAAATCACTGCAGATGGTGACTGCAGCCATCAAATTAAAAGATGCTTGCTACTTGGAAGAAAAGTTATGACCAACCTAGGCAGCATATTAAAAAGCAGAGACATTACCTTGCCAACAAAGGTCCATCTAGTCAAAGCTATGGTTTTTCTAGTAGTCATGTATGGTTGTGAGAGTTGGACTATAAGGAAAGCTGAGTGATGAAGAATTGATGCTTTTGAACTTAGTGTTGGAAAGGACTCTTGAAACTCCCTTGGACTGCAAGGAGATGCAACCAGTCCATCCTAAAGGAAATCAGTCCTGAGTATCATTGGAAGGCCTAATGTTGAAGCCTACACTGTAATACTGTGGCCACCTGATGTGAAGAACTGACTCACTGGAAAAGACCCTGATGCTGGGAAAGATTGAAAGCAGGAGGAGAAAGGGATGACAGAGGATGAGATGGTTGGATGGCATCACCAACTCAATGGACATGAATTTGGGTAGGCTCTGGAAATTTGTGATGGACAGGGAAGCCTGGCATGCTGCAGTCCATGGGGTGGTGAAGAGTCAGACACAACTGAGCAACTGAACTGAACTGAAAAGAGGAAATAATGAATAATAAAGTAAAAGAGAATTGAAAATTGTACCTGAGGCAGAGGATGTACTAGTTATTTTAATGAATGCTAGAGTTTTAATAACAAAAGATGCAATCACACGAGCAAACAGTAATGGGCTTCTCATGAGTTTATAGTTGATCCTTGGCGGATAATAAGCTTTTTTCCTGCAGGTGCTAGATTATGGAAAATGCATATTAACACATATACACACAAAAAGAAACTTATCAAGAGCCTGGCAGACATGCAGAATTATCCTGAAATACCAATAAAGTATTTGTAATAGAAGCCAAATATTCAGAGGATTCCAGAGTGAATGGATAGTTAAGGAGTTAACTTCAGGTCTTTTGTGTATTTGTGAGAATATTTCATGATGAAAAGAGAAAGAGAGGAATAGTACTGCAGCAGAATTACAGAGAAATTTTGTGGATGTTTGTTTTACAGTACAGCGAGATTTGGACTTATCTGTAAACTCCCGTAAATACAGAAAATAGAAGCAAGGAAAATGTACACGGAAGATGCAAGAAATAAAAGGAGGGAAAGTTGAGGGAATTGTTAACAAGAGTTATCTGGAACTGGGCCTATCATTATGCATGATAGAAATCTACATCGTGATTTGTATATATTCCTACACTGAGACCTGTGAGGATAGGGACCACATCTCTGTTCGTCATGTCCACACACAGTGCTCAGTCCAGACTATCATATTCCCAAACAAATACTTGATAACTAAAATGATTAAAAAAAGATAGAAAACATAGTCAGAAATGTTAGCCTTATAGGAAGGAAAAATTACTGTAAGCATAAATTTAGAGTGAATGACTGGAGAATTGCAATGACTCAGTTAATAAGGAAAGCTTTCAACCTGAAAGACAAGATTGTCTTTTATGTTAATAAGATGGGAAAAGAAATTGGTGTGTATAGATGATTTGGGTTTCAAAGTAAACACTTTGGAGTCAGCTATAGGTATATGTGAATCCAAGATCTGACTGTTATAAATTATATGATGTTAAGCAAATTAATCATTTCTATGTACTTCCATCTCCTCATTTCTTAATAAGAAAATAATACCTATTTCACAGAGAAGATTTAAGAACTAAATGTGATACTAGAGATAAATCACCGGACCTGGCCTGTCACTTGGGAAGCACCATGTCGCTTGTAAGGTTTAGGTTTCACTGAGAGATTATGCAGGACAATGACATTTAATGGGGGCCAAGAAGAAGCTGAAGACTGCCACAATCTGTCCCCTGATTCTCAGGCAGGGCTTTGAAGGAAGTCTTGTCATTAGGAACCAAGTCCCTTGGAATCTGACAGCCTGTTTTGGACCTGGTTCTGCCACTTACCAATATGTGGCCTTTGGAAATGCATTTATCTGTGCCTCAGTTCAGCCATCTTTAAAATAAGTGTAATGAGAATATCTAACTTAAGAGTTGCTTTGAGGACCAAAAATGAGTAATGTGTGTGAAACACTTTATCTGGCAGGTAGCCTATGAATAAAATTATTGTTAGGAGAAGGAAATAATATTTGGGGAAATAGGAATGGGATCCAGGCGTTTGCTCGTGAGAGAATGCAGGTAGAATGGGGGAAAAATAGAATGGATGAGGGAGACCTATAAGATGGGGAAGGGCAAAAGAAAGTGTGACAAATGAACATAAAAATAAAAAAACAAAAACAGAAATGTGAAAGCTCATTTTGAGACAGGCTCAAAGAAATACTTTCATTATATAATCTGAGGCTAGACTGGGCACATGCCATGGGAATCCAATAATAAAATCCATTATCTTTAAAATCATATTAAAAAGTAAAGAAACATTTTTGCCTTTTTCTTAACTGTTCTACCATATTTCTGGTTCTAATTCACTGTCTTTAACAGATTTGGGGTGGGGGATTGTTTTATATTTTTATTGCCACCTGTGACTAAAATATGTACTGTTAATTTGAAATTTGAAGAATTTGCAACACATTTTTCTTTTAGCATGTCACAACTGGAGCTTATCAATGCTTTTATTATTAGCTGGAAATAACAGAAAACTTTTACTGTGGCAGATTCTGGTCAAATTTTAAAACAGGCCTACTTAGCCTGAAGAATTGAAAAGTTGAATACTAGTATAAATATGACTGGACATGTTTTATTCTCTATAAAAATTCACAGTTCCAGAAAGTGAATTGTCCATTTTTATATTCAACTCTTGTTCATAAAAAGTGTATATAGTCTAGAGGAGGAAATGACAGATATATATAGATAGCCCAAGATCTTGAAACTTAACTTGATTCTTATAGATCTATAAGATTCCTATGGATGGGAAATGGCTCCCCATTGCAGGCCTAAGTTATATAAGATAAAGAGAACTGAATAATAATAATAATCCTAAAATTTTAGTATTATATGTAATATATGAAATGATTATATATTTTTACTTGCCCAGAATATATAAACATCTTAAAATCCCTGAATTTAAAAAGTACTGATGACATTCTCAGATCCTATCATAATAAAACCTCATATTAGTGAAAAAAATATGAAACAGAACCACCAACCACTAAGAATTTAAACACTTTACTAAATAACTCTTTTTTTTTCCATTTATTTTTATTAGTTGGAGGCTAATTACTTTACAACATTGCAGTGGTTTTTGTCATACATTGAAATGAATTAGCCATGGATTTACATGTATTCCCCATCCCGGTCCCCCCTCCCACCTCCCTCTCCACCCGATCCCTCTGGGTCTTCCCAGTGCACCAGGCCCGAGCACTTGTCTCATGCATCCAACCTGGGCTGGTGATCTGTTTCACCCTAGATATACATGTTTCGATGCTGTTCTCTTGAAACATCCCACCCTTGCCTTCTCCCACAGAGTCCACAAGTCTGTTCTGTACATCTGATTCTCTTTTTCTGTTTTGCATATAGGGTTATCATTACCATCTTTCTAAATTCCATATATATGTGTTAGTATACTGTAATGGCCTTTATCTTTCTGGCTTACTTCGCTCTGTATAATGGACTCCAGTTTCATCCATCTCATTAGAACTGATTCAAATGAATTCTTTTTAATGGCTGAGTAATATTCCATGGTGTATATGTACCACAGCTTCCTCATCCATTCGTCTGATGATGGGCATCTAGGGTGCTTCCATGTCCTGGCTATTATAAACAGTGCTGCGATGAACATTGGGGTGCACGTGTCTCTTTCAGATCTGGTTTCCTCAGTGTGTATGCCTAGAAGTGGTATTGCTGGGTCATATGGCAGTTCTATTTCCAGCTTTTTAAGGAATCTCCACACTGTTTTCCATAGTGGCTGTACTATGGAAAGGGTGTGGTTCCCTTTTCTCCACACCCTCTCCAGCATTTATTGCTTGTAGACTCTTGGATAGCAGCCATCCTGACTGGCGTGTAATGGTACCTCATTGTGGTTTTGATTTGCATTTCTCTGATAATGAGTGATGTTGAGCATCTTTTCATGTGTTTTTTTGCCATCCGTATGTCTTCCTTGGAGAAATGTCTGTTTAGTTCTTTGGCCCATTTTTTGATTGGGTCATTTATTTTTCTGGAATTGAGCTGGAGGAGTTGCTTATATATTTTTGAGATTAATCCTTTGTCTGTTGCTTCATTTGCCATTATTTTCTCCCAATCTGAGGGCTGTCTTTTCACCAAAAAAGAGAGAGAGAGAGAGAAAAACCCTATTTTTAAACCAAACTTCATATACATTTCTAAATTTTTTGTGTGTTTTTGTTTTTGTTTTTAAATATTGTATTTCAAAGAGTCTAACCTCTACACTAGATTTTTAATCTTTGTTTTTCAGTATGTGATATAAATTTTGGACATTTAAGAATCCAATATTCAGTTCCCATTTCTATTCAGGAGTGTGGTGATTACTCTCCCACTTTTGACTCTCTGTTTTCTACCTCAGAACACCTCTATTTCCTCCTTTCCCCTTCTCTTCCCAATCCAATTCTGTGAATCTTTGTGGGTGTCTGGGCTACAGAGAACACTTTGGGAACAGATAACTGCGTAGATCTGTCTCTCTCCTCTTGAGTCCCCTTTTCTCCTCCTGCTCACCTCTATCTCCTTCCTCCCTCTCCTATTCTTCATTTAACTCTATGAATCTCTCTGGTTGTCTCTCACGGTGGAGAATCTTTTCACCATTAACCTAGAAGTTTTATTATCAGTGCTGTATAGTTGGAGAAGTCTTGAGACTATTAGAAGAATAAAACTGAAATCCACTAACAGAGTTGTTTATATATTTGGCCCACCAGTTAAAGAACCTCCTACAGATGTTACTCCCACTTTCTTGACCACAGGGGTGCTCAGTACTTTACGCCAAGCTGATTTTGAGGCCCATAACATTCTCAGGGAGTCTGGGTATGCTGGGAGAATCAGCCAGATGCCGGTGATTTTGACACCTTTGCATTTTGATCGGGACCCACTTCAGAAGCAGCCTTCTTGCCAGAGATCTGTGGTTATTCGAACCTTTATTACTAGTGATTTCATGACTGGTATACCTGCAACCCCTGGCAATGAGATCCCCATAGAGGTGGTGTTAAAGATGGTCACCGAGATTAAGAAGATTCCTGGTATTTCTCGAATTATGTATGACTTAACATCAAAGCCCCCAGGAACTACTGAGTGGGAGTAATAAACTTCTTGTTCTACTAAAAAAAAAAAAAAAAAACTGAAATCCAGAGGCAGGAGACTTAAGCCCCAAACCTGAGAAAACCAGAAAACTCCTGACTACATGGAACATTAAGGAATAAGAGACCATCCAAAAGCCTCCATACCTACACTAAAACCAACCACCACCCAAGAGCCAATAAGCTCCAATACAAGACATACCACGCAAATTCTTTAGCAACACAGGAACATAGACCTGAGTGTCAACATACAGGCTGTCCAAAGTCACACCTAACACAAAGACCCATCACAAAACTCATTACTAAACACTTTGCTAAATAATTCTTTGTCAAAGAGGAATTGCAGGAAAGTGTAAAAGTTACGATATTTAAAGCACCACATATCAAAACCTATAGTAGTATATCAAAGTTATACTTAGAGCATTAAAATAAAGTGCAATTGTTAACATTTTTATCACCAAATATAACAGATTGAGGATCTTCTCAATTATAGCATTGAAGAAATGCCAACATAATAAATCTGTAGAATGTACGAGAGATTAATTAATGCCCTAAACCCCAGATTTTAGGAATAAGAAAAAAGTACAATAGTACTCTATTCAAAACAAAAAGTACATTGATAAACTGAAGTTTTCTGATTTATGCCAGGATGCTAAGCAACCTCATAACTCCAAGTCTGCAAAGGCAGAGAGGCCACTGACTATTAGTAGTGGTTTGCTTGTGGGAGAACAAATGTGCAACAGGTCACCAGTAGGACTATTAGTCACGCTGCTAAGAAAGGACAACACAGAGCAGTTCAGCTCTGTGCACTCCCCTCTCAGATCAGACAAGAAGTAAATCAGTATTCCTTGTCCAAGCAGGACAATTAGTATAAGAAGTTAGACTGGGAAAAAAAGACATTATGCATCATCAGGAAGCAGGAAAAATTGAATATCCCAATTAGAAAACACTTTAGTCATCTCCCAAGCTCACTAAAAGGATGGAAACCTTGTCTAAAATGCCTACTCATCAGCTAAAGCACAAACTAAGAAAAAATGAAAAGGGTACATAAGACAACACATTTTATTATAAGTTCTTGTTACTCAGTCACTCAGTTGTGTCCAACTCTTTTTGACCCCATGGACTGCAATACACCAGGCTTCCCCGTCCTTCGCTATCTCTTGGAGCATGCTCAAACTCATGTCCACTGAACCTATGATGCCATCCAACCATCTCATCCTGTCGCCCCCTTCTCCTTGTGTCTTCAGTCTTTCTCAGCATCCGGGCCTTTTCCAGTGAGTCAGTTCTTTGCATCATGTAGCCAAACTATTGAAGCTTCAGCTTCAGCATCAGTCCTTCCAATGAATATTCAGGGATGATTTCTTTTAGGACTGACTGGTTTGATCTCCAGGGTACTCTCAAGGATCTTCTCTAGCACCACAATTCGAAAGCATCAGTTCTTTGACACTCAGCCTTCTTTATGGTCCAGCATTCACATCTGTACATAAAAACCATAGCTTTGACTAGATGAACCTTTGTCAGCAAAGTAATGTCTCTGTTTTTTAATATGCTGTCTAGCTTTGTCATAACTTTTCTTCCAAGGAATAAGTGTCTTTTAATTTCATGGCTGCAGTCACAGTTTGTAGTGATTTTGGAGCCCAAGAAAATAAAGTCTGTCACTGTTTCCATTGTTTCCCCATCTATTTGCCATGAAGTGATGGGACCAGATGACATGATCTTGGTTTTTTGAATGTTGAGTTTTAAGCCAGCTTTTTCACTCTCATCTTTCACTTTCATCAAGAGGCTCTTTAATTCCTCTTCTCTTTCTGCCATTACGTGGTATCATGTGCATATTTGAGGTTATTGATGTTTCTCCCAGCAATTTTGATTCCAGCTTGAGCTTCATCCAGCCGGGCATTTCACATGATGTACTCTACATGCAAGTTGAATAAGCAGGGTGACGATATACAGCCTTGGTATACTCCTTTCCCATATTTGAATTAGTGCTTTGTTGCATGTCTGGTTCTAACTGTTGCTTCTTGACTTGCATAGAAGTTTCTTGGGAGGCAGATAAGGTGGAATGGTATTCACAGCTCTTTAAGAATTTTCTACAGTTTATTGTGATCCACACAATCAAAAGCTTTAGCATAGTCAATGACATAGAAGTAGATGCTTTTCTGGAGTCCCCTTCCTTTTTCTGTGATCCAACAGATGTTGGCAGTTTGATCTCTGGTTCTTCTACCTGTTCTAAATTCAGCTTGTACACCTGGAAGTTCTTGGTTCACATACTGTCGAAGCCTAGCTTGAAGACTTTTGAGCATTACCTTGCTAGCATTTGAAATTAGTGCAATTGTCCTACAGTTTGAACATTCTTTGACATTGCCCTTCTTTGGGATTAGAATTGACCTTTTCCAGTCCTTTGGCCATTGCTCAGTTTTCCAAATTTGCTGGAAATTTTATAAGTAAGATTGAAGAAAATTTTACAGTTGTAAACTTTGTCTACATTATAAACTGTATCTAATATGTTCATTAACTCATGGAAATATCTGAAATAAAATTTACATAAATTTGAGCAGATTATGAAAGCATGGTCGCTTTGGCAGTATCCATCCCATCTTTCTAAGGTCTTGCTTCTTTAAGCAAAGATAAATGATGTCATAGAGGATTGAAACATTACAATTATGTTCCTATAACTGGATATATCCCATAAACTTTATAAAATTTAAATATACAGAACTCTTTTTCCCTTAATTTAGTTTTTGTCTTATATTAGAGTATAGTCAATTTACAGTGTGGTGTTAGTTTTAGGTGTACACAAAGTGAATCTGTTATACATATACATATATCCATTCTTTTTCATATTATTTACCCATATAGGATCACTATGAAGTACTGAGTAGGGTTCCCTGTTCTATACAGTAGGTCCTTTGATTATCTATTTTATATATGCCCATGCATGCATGCTCATCATGTCCAACTCTTTGTGACCCTATGGACTGTAGCCGGCCAGGCTTCTGTTTTCATGGGATTTTCCAGGCAAGAATGCTGGAGGTTTTTGCCATTTCCTCCTCCAGGGGATCTTCCTGACCCAGGGATTGAAACCACACCTCCTTCATCTCACATCTCCTGTATCGGCAGGTGGATTCTTTACCACTGAGTCACCCGGGAAGCTATTTAATATAGAGTAGTGTGTATCCGTCAATCCCAAATTCCTAATTTATCCCTCCACCACAGGCTTTCCCTTTTGGTAACCACAAGTTTGTTATCTACTTACAGAACTCTTTTTTAAAATAACAGATTTGGTAACCCAGATTCCAGAAGAAATGAATAATTTAGGAAAACATCTTGATATTCTAAATTGATCCTAGAAGTTAGTTCCTGAAGAGCTATACAATGTAGAGGAGTTTTTAATTTGAAATTTCAAACGATTTTTATTAAGAATATTTTAATTGGAAAAACATTTATAATATACTCTCTTAAAAAATTATTTCAGGTTTCACAGATGGGAATAAAAATCACTCCAAGTATATGGTAAAGAAAGGACTCAGTGCCAGGAATTAGATACTTACAAAATTATTTTTAAACCATAATCAGTTCAATAGGAATGGACTCCCCTGCATTCTTTTGGTTTTGAGATCACAGCACGGTATCTACTGCAGACACTAGAAAGTCGCTGCTCCTAACTGCAGCCATCACTGCCATCTCAGCTGTTTCCCATCTGTGACACTGGTGACCAGACACTAGAAGTGGAGCCAAGTTCTCCAATAGTTAGGATTTTCAGAATTGTTTCTCAGCCAACAAAACTGTAGAAAATGGCCTCCATCTCGTTTCTGAATCCCAGTGACCTTATCTTGACTCTAATCCTTTTTGGAAAGGAGTCTCAAAAATGTAGTTTTTAGCTTTCTGACCACTGCTAATGGAAACAGGTTGAAATGGAGTCTGAGCAAATCTATTCAAGTATCTGCTACAAGCAAAATACAGAATTACATGTGCAATCTGATTTCAAATCCTAGAAGAAAAGAGAAAGAAAATATGTATCAAAGTTTAACTATTGGTTATATCTGAATTTTCTGGTTGCTCAGACAATAAAGAATCTGCCTGCAAGGCAGGAGACCCAGGTTGAACCCCTGGGTTGTGAAGGTCCCCTGCAGAATGGAATGGCCACCACTCCAGTAATCTTGCCTGGAGAATTCCATGGACAGAGGAGCCTGGCGGGCTACGGTCCATGGGATCACAAACAATCAGACATAATCAAACAGCTAACTCAGTTGCCGGATATTGAAATGAAAGAGGATTTTAATTTCTTCCTTTGAATATTTACCTGATATTAAATTTACTAAAATAAGAATATAACACTTGATTTAATTTTTAAAATAAATATATATTTTACCTGTGTAGTAAAGAATAGATGCTGCCCGTGGAGAGGATCAGCTGGGTCCCTGGTTTCTAAGTTAACCTCTACAGCCTTGGAATTTCCAGAGTGACAGAATTATCTTTATTTTCATGATAAACCTTTGGTATCACATCTGATAATCTGATACTTAATACTAACAAGGTACTGCATGATGGGCCTCTCTGGCCACATGATATTATATTAAGGGAAGGGGAGACCAGGGATTGAGGTCAGCCACATGGGAAATCATCCAATCATCATGCCTGCTTAATAAAACACCAGGTAAAACTCTGGACTCCAAAGCTCTAGTGAACTTCCTTGGTGGGCAATATCATATACATATTGTCACACATCAGTACCAGTGGGTAATGTGTCCTGAGAACAGAAGCTTTGCATATGCAACTCTCCTAGGCTCTGACCTACGTGTCTCTTTCCTTGGCTGATTTGAATATATCCCTTCTCTGTAACAAATTATAACCATAAGCATAATAGCTTTTAATGCATTCTGTGAGTCTCGTGAATTATAGAACCTGAAGGCAGTTTGGGAAACTTGAACTTGCAGTTCATGCTAACAGTGAAGGCTGTCTTTTACCAAAATAAGATTTATACCTTCCTTGCAGTCAAAGATGAGGA